TACGGCATTAATTACATTTTGCTGAAAGAGTAAACAAGTTTTTATTATGATAGGCATAATACATTTCCTTCGATGTCAGTTACACAATACCGACCGACCGACACAGATTTCGTTATGTTAAACAATTTACATAGGAGTTGACTAAATAATGTATGATTGTGTGTATTTACAAAAAAAAAGTATTCTATCAGTCAATTTAGCTTTCATAGTACAAGCTCTGCTTAGTTTGAAACTACATATAGTTTCAAACTAAGCAGAGCTTGTTTTAGATGTCCGAAATAAAATAAGATAAATAAATAAATAATTGAATCCATAATCTTAGATATCAGGACTTACCGCATTTAGGAAACAAATTTTACTGTGGGAGAGCCATGCTACGGCACCGGAGTACACGTCATAGAAAACGAGTATTAAGCAATCTTTTCGTTGCTTTTCAGTGAGTGAGGTAACCGAAGGACCGATTCTGGGGCACCCTAAATGTAGCAATGCACTTGTGTCTCTCGAGGTGCAGGTGTCGATGGGCGGCGGTACTCACATAACAATAGGTGATTTGTCTGCTCGTTTCCCTCTTACACCATGAAAAAGGAATTTACTTTAAATAAAAAAAAAACATATTTTTGAAGGACACAATATGTCAGCTGGTGCAACTACTAACGAACGTGTTACTTTTTTTTAAATTGCATTACTTACTAAATATTAAATTTGAAATATTACATTTTATGTCTTTCACAAACAGTTTTTCAATTTAAAAATAGCAATTAATTAGAAACTGGCAGGTGATTATCCCGCCGGGTATCAATATTATTTATTGGCACACTTATAAATCATACCAGAACAAAACGCATTCTACTATGAATATGATCCATTTTATGATATAAACGTTCTACATTTTTAAATTACAGTTGACCTCTAAAGATTTACGATCTAAATTATTACGAAGATCCGCAGTAATAACACGTTTTAAATTCACCGTTAAATAGTATTTCATGAGGTCAGGATAAAGTAACAATAAGGTCCCTATTAAATATACGTATGTGTGTGAATCAAACAATCTCAAATCTTGAGAATAGTCAGCCCTTAATCGGCTCTTACGACACCCACGGAATGAATAGGGGTAGTGACACTCTGTATTCTTAATCCGTCACCCCACGGTTCTTTACTATATTTGTGATGCTTAATTGTAAAGAAAACTAGCTATGTCTCTGGACTTTTAATAAAAAATGAAATTGAATTTTGATTTTGTTTATCTATTTCTGGTTTTTGTAAAAAGTATTAATCACTTTAGGAATACACAAAAATACAGTCAAAATGTGACACAACGATACAATTAGTATTCTGAATACAGTTTTTTTTATATTAAAACGTGTAAGCTTCTAAGGATGGATATATTGGTGTATGTTAATCATTCACGGCAAAAAGGTTGAACTAATCGGGATTAAATTTGGGACAGATAGATTAAACAAGGCAGACATAGTCTTTAATAGCACATAAAATACTTATTTCTTTTTGTAGATGCTAGTCTAAAATCATTTATTTACAAATTTTAACGTAAGTCCAAGTTCGTTAACTTGGCCTTACGTTTTCACAGTTATCTCGTCAAGAAAGCGTTTCTGAGTTAAGAAAGAATAATGTTCTTACTTACTTTACTTAAACAAATGAAAATAATCCATTTCATTAAGCTATGAAGCCCAAGAAAACATAAAAACTGCGAACACTTATTTATCTTAACCATAGTTGTTCAACGATCAATCGAAGCAAAACTAAAATACTTACACAATATATTATGGTACATATGCAGTTATTAAACCTCACACGTTTTTATACTGTAACACTCTTGAGCAAAACTGCAAAGTATCTGACACTTATTTCACAAACACCGCAGCCAAAAGAAGGGTACGATAATTGACTGGTTTCCATAGATTCTATACGAAAGGATATTGTAACATACATAATTGGTCAATACTCAATCATTGATTTACTAACAGTAGGTCGCAAGCTGGTTTACTTTTAAAGGCAGGCTTACTCAATGTGCTACTGAACATATATTGCTCGGGTTACGGTACCTTTTACGTCATAAGAACTAAATTAAAAGAAACTAAGTACATTTACACACACGTACCTGTTTATAAACCTCGATTTTTTACTTTTAGGGGACTTTTAGGGGACGCAAATGTACGTGTTTGTTTTTTATTTAACATTGTATTTATTTGAACTTCCTAACAGGTTTTCGTATTTTTGTTTTGCCAAATAAATAGTGGAATTCTGAATTAACATTATTTGAAAAAGTTCCGGTATTGAAGGTCTGGTGTCTATAATTGAACAATGTTTGTTGTTGAAAATATTGGTGCTTAATATTTCTTTTTACAAAAAAAGCGACGTTTCCTCATTCCTTTAAAACTTTATAAAAATGGTTTCTAAAATTAATTTATTTAGTAATGTTTTTATTTACAATTGTTTTAAAAAGAACCTGGCTTTAGTCGGGTAATAATTTCAACATACCTGAGTTTTATCGCAAATAGAATATCTTGATAAGTTATTATTATAAACTGACCAGTTTATCCGTGATCATGACGCTTGCCAATAGTGCCGAAATATCGGCAACTAATTCCGGAAAATAAAAATGAAAATGTCCCGTTTATAACAACTTATCAGGTGAAAATAACCATGGTAGTTTAACCCAAATAGAACGTCGTCAAATTTAAAGTTTAGGTACCCCATTTGCCCGATTTGTTAAGAATGCTCTTAGCGATTCACCCAGCATCGATATTGAAAGTGAATGTATCGCGATTGCATCGTGACCCGTTCGTCCTACATTTACTTGCAATAAGTACTTTGCTAATTTATTACAACTCGCACATCAAGTATTGGACGGTTTGTTAGCCAGCATGTTACGTGCATGCCAACAGCCAGCTTACCTTCTTAGTCAAACGTGATGTTTTTCCAAATGCTGTATGTTTCTAAATCGCAGTGACATTTTTCTATTATGCTGGATAAACGACAACGCTGGAATGGTGAGAAGTGCAGAAAGCTATTTTATATAAAATGCATTAGAAATAATAAAATATAATAGAAATAAATTATAGCCATGATAAAACCTTTGATTATAGAGCTATGGTCTTTGACCATAGAACCCTAAAAAAGTTCAAACTTGAAAATTAAATGAATAATAGTCGAATTATGAAAACTGGGCGACTACTAGTAAGATGAATAGCGAAAATAAACGCTGCTGTTAAAACACAGCCGCAAACTTTGTTCTTACCGGGTGACACTTAACACAAACCCCGCTATTGCCCTAAACAGATTAAAGTCGCTACTATTGGCTTAAACTTAAAACAAGTTACGTATATATACAGCCTCTTTTTAAACATTATGAGAACATGTCTCAAGCAGTTGAGCTATGTGCCTCTACATAACTCCCTAAAAAATTCAAAATATCTGGTTTAAAGCAAAAGGTTGTATGTTACATAATTAAAGTTAACCCAGGAAATGAGATGTAACGTTTACATAAGCGTTTAAAATAAGTGTGTTTGTAAACTTTAAAAAGAAGAAAATTAATGATTTATGAGACCGTATGGGTAACCACCCGCCTGGAACGGTCGCTGCAAGCGTGTCGTAAACCAATTGAGAGTCAGGTTGCTGGCTGGCTGATATTTGATTATAGCTCATTGGTATAGAAGTGTATACCACGGTAGCGATGATGTTTCTCGAAAGCTACTTCCAATCACGGCGGTATAATCACTGAAGACCACTGACTCACTGACGACAGCACGATCGACGACACCAGACTCAAAACAACAATTTGTGTGATCCACAAATTGTTGTTCTGAGTCTGAGTGTTCCTTGTGTCCGTTTCATGTATGTTTGTAAAGTCCCCCACGACACAGGATATATTCCTAATGCGGGAGTTGTCTTTTTTGCAAAGAAAAAGAAGTGAAACGAGGTGATCATGCTTAGCACTATAGCAGACGACGCAAGAACTCTAACTGGTTTAGTAGTTACTTTATAGGTCGGTGTATCTTCATTAGATAGCTTTTTTGTATATGGCAGATTTTGATTTTGACCTAGTTTGTCGGAAACGGTTGCCTGGACGGTAATCTAAATAATACTTGGTGAAATTTATCTATTTATCCATGTCGCATGTCGTTAATTTTATTCTTATAGCTAAGCTTCAAATACAGCTTTCATATCAAATAAATGAAAAATAACCATTCAAAAGTTCTTACTTTCTCTTTAAGTTACTTATTTTTCAATTAGATACTGAATTTCAAACAAGTATATAATAAAACAAAATACCCCACTTTTCTCACACACGACAAGATCTATTTCTACATTTATAAACGTAGCTAAATATTAAAACAAAACTAAAGGCACGGGTCATCAAAATGTCAAATATAAAATCTTAATAGATTTCGACGGACATGTAAAGGTATTTTGGCCTTGACATTTACAGTGTTCCAGGATATGTGACGTCACTCTTCATGAAACAGCAAATATTAAAATGTTAAGATGATCGTAGAATCGAAAAAACTAAATCCTTTGTTCTGTAAGTACGTTCGTACCTACATCAGAAACTATAACAGAAAAATAATAATTGATTACGCACGACTACCCTACGTTTGCAGTAATTGATAAATATATATACACATATATAAAGATGGACAATACGAGTAGTTCTTAGTTGATACAAGTGGCCAACTCTAGGCGATGAAATCTTTTTGGTCAGCAGAAATAAAACATTTGCTTTTCATAACCTGTTCAAAAGGTACCTAGAAAAAGATAAAAAGATTAAAAAATAATAATACTCAAAAGATTTTCCATATCGACAGGGCAAAAGTACCCAAAAATAAATAGGTAAATTATAGTTTTAATTAAAAGGATTAAGAGACTCCAGATTCTCTTTTTCCAATTTAAAAAAAAAACAATAAGCCATAGTTAGATGTTGAAAAGGATTTTTAAGAAAATAAAAATTGCCTCTAATTATACTTTATATCGTTTTCCAGAGGCCCTCGACGTGATCAAGGAGGAACACACGATGCCAGCGCAGAGGCGGCGTGACAAGAGAGAAGTGCCCTTCACCCACGATGAAAAAAGGATAGCTGGGGTCAGTTAAAGTCTCATAATAATAATAACCTCACATATTTCTCACGCCAGTACTATACACATAGTAAGCAGACTTCTGAGAAACATACTTATATATTTCTAAATACACACATATCATAGATAAATTACACCCAGACACAGAACAAATTATCATGCTCATCACACAATTATTTGTCCTAGGTGGGAATCGAACCCACAACCTCTGATTTAGCAGTCAGGATCACTAACCACTAGACCAACAGGCCCGTCGTACTAATCATCATACTAATGATAATCTCTCTCAACACAATAAAATACAGTTGACAAAGAGTTGAGCCAATGATAAAGAAGTTAGTAGAGTCAACAGCTTTGGACGTTAGGTGTCTTTCTGAAACCGTTTGTTCTTTTTAGGGTTCCGTACCTCAAAAGGAAAAAACGGAACCCTTATAGGATTACTTTGTTGTCCGTCTGTCCGACCGTCTGTCTATCTGTCTGTCAAGACCCTTTATCTCGGGCACGCGTGGAGGTATCGAGTTTAAATGAAAATGATAGACTCAGGACTACAGTCCCTTGAAACTGCGAAAAAATCAAAATTCTAAGTTAATTTAAAAAAAAAGATACGGCCGTTTATGCCGCAAAAAAACGTATATTTCGACACTCTCAGGGAATCAAAATTTATAGGGTATTTTCCGTTGACCTAGAACTACGAAATTTGCCAAGTAATACCTTCTTATACTACAAGTATAGGGAAAAATCTAAAAACTATACCGTACATAAATCCTTTACATGTACTTACAAATTTGTACGGAACCCTCGGTTGGCGAGGCCGACTCGCACTTGTCCGGTTTTTTTAATGAAATATAGGGGCAAATTAGCTGACGGGTCATCTGATGGAAAGTGACTAACGTCGCCCATGAACCCACCTGCAACTCAAAAGTCTCAAGTGCGTTAACCTCCTTTAAGTCCCAGAATTTGGGATCCAGGAACCTCACTTACTTGGTGATAGACAATGAAAGAATTTCAAGTATTCTGTGCCGGTTTTCTGTGAGGCCGCGGTATCAGTCCGAATCATGGCTCTCCCTGGGTAAAACTCACTAATACTTATTTCCAGCACAACATGTAAAGTCAAGAGACGTGATCTTATTACTCAATTAATATTATATATAACGCCTCGAAGTTGATGCACTGTCATAAACGTTTCTCATTTCATAATTTCTATTAGAGTCAAGATGATCGAGAAAAAATATCCTTAAAAAAATGACGTGAATATAGGTATAACTGTTTTTTTTTTATTAGTACTAGTTTTCCTTCAAATAACTCATCACCAATAAGTATTTAATTGCGGATGTCATTACTCAAACTTATCACCAACTTATTTACGTTTGATTACTGGCCCAGCTAATTCAATTACCTAGTTTATGATTAAACAGCTTTATGGTAGGTGTTTAATTAAATCGTTCTTATGTGTGTTTGTGAAGTAGAACACCGGTCGTCCTTTTCGAAGTTTCCCACGACTCCGAACACTCATGACTCGACATATGACTTTTGTTCTGTCAATGTTAAAAAGAATCCTTAGATTTCTTGAGATTATTGAATGTGATCATTTCAACTCAGTCGGTAAGAATGTTATATTATCCTTCCTTTCTCTTTAATCATAAGACAAACCATGAGACGTACGGAAATGCGATTAATTGCATTCTCTCGCTTTCGCTTCATGCGGATTTCTTCAAGTCTCGGTTGCTGAATTCATTTCCCTCCTCCTATAAATTTTACTTAAGTCAATATACCTGCTTCCTTTGTCGTGTTCGAAATGATTACATTCCGAAGGGGAATTGGCATCAGGCAAGCAGCTGGTTATAAAAGAAACAAGCCAAAACGTTTTGCATATTTCGCCATAAAGATCAGGTAAACACAACATTGACTAAACATAAAAGTATTATTACAGCAACTTATTATAGCACAGGTATACCAGTATCTTTAAATTTAGTGACGTTTAGAAAGCTAATTAGTGCTAATTATATAAAAAACACAGAAATAGCACTAGTAATGTGAATGACCACCATCTAACCTAAATACTTTGTAATAGTTCGATCCTACAAGTCCAAAGCCTTAGCCATCATACTACCGCCACTTGCAAGAAAACTTTTTAAAGGATAACTTACATTTTACAAATGTTTCGGAATTTGGATTAATCGTGTACTTTTAAATGTTCGAGCAATTAATCTTCACATATTCGGATAGCAATCACGCTGGCAACTTTATTTATTAGGGTCAAACTTGTCCCTAATTCTTAGAAGCCTCTTTAGTCTTATTTTATTGGAATCAAGACTTACATTAATTGGGATTAGATTAATGGACCAGTGTAGCACTTCACAAAAAGTTAAAACATGTTAAAACAACATATCTTTATACTATCTTTTAGTTATATAGATTATATTAGTACTTATAGACTAATGTTATAAAGCTGAAGGGTTTGTTTAGGGTAGTTTAATGCGCTCGTCTCAGGAAATACTGGTTCTAATTGGTTCTGGTTCTTGAGATGGTGGAATTTCCTAATTAATTGTACTGTAGTACGTGTTCTTTGTGTCCGTTTAATGTATGTTTGTAAAGTCCCCCACAACACAGAATATATTCCTAGCGCGGGCGTTGTCTTTTAAAAAAAGTACCTCCTTATTTAAGGTGTACCAATATAAAGTATATGTATCTATGTGTATTTATTTATTTATACATCTATATATGTATGTATGTATTTTATTGATATAATTATGTATGTGTGTAATTGTATATGTTAGTTGTATATATTTCTGTATAAAAAACTTTATAACTACTGATTACAACTGTAACCTCAGTGCACCTACTGTACTAGATTTTTACACCACCCAAAGGTTGGCTGGTAGAGAATGCCCAGAGCATTAAGTCCGCCGATGTTCATAAGTGCATAAAGTTAAAAATAAATAAACAATTGAAAATACGTTTAATGTTAGATAACCCATTTAAGGCTATGGGCTATTTATAACATTACGCTACGACCAATGGGAGCCGAGCATCAATAAAAATGTTGCGAAAACGGTAACATTTATTCCTTTTCAGAGACGCAGACAAAATTGCGAGGGTCAACTAGTATAATATTATTGAAGTATGTGATAGCAAAAAGTATTGCATCTAAGGTTAAATCAATCTATTCAGCAGACACAAAAAGGTAACATTGTCTATTGTCTATGGTTATCCGCCATTGACAACAAACAATGCCCAGTTCCTCTATTATACTTAAAAATTAAAGAAGGCATATATATATTTAAAATGTAACTGCGATAAATAAACGCACAAAATAAAAAATGTTGTTTATTAATTTATAATTTTTTCCTGTTTTATTTCAGTGTTTGCTGCAGTGTGTTTACCGGAAAGTGAAAGCTGTAAGTAATGAACAAACTAGTACTACTACCTCAATCATATCTAAGTATTTGTAACTATAACTGTGTCTGTTTTATCGATAAAACATTCATAACACAGAAACAAAAGAAAAATTAGTTTTGTCGTGAGAGTAAATCAAAGTTAGACTATTATTTTTCATTTCAATATAATTTATGTTCAAGTTATCTACCACGTTATCATCTAGTCGGTCATAACAACATTAAATGTTTGACTAATTGCGTAAGGATAATGTTATTTAAAAAAAAATATAAGTATAATTTGAAATCGAGTTTTAATGGTTTATAGATCTGATTGCTCCAATTTGTTAACTATAAAACATGCTTTCTCATAAATCAGAAAAAAAATCTAGGTACATATTTATTATACTTGCAGTCCTGAACAGGAATATTATGGTCATAAAACCGCAGTTCAAGCAGTAAATTGTATTTTATTTTTGTTATATTGAAAAAGCGATATTCAATTTAATAGTCGAACACCATGATTTGCCTGCTGTACTTTCTGTTGTATAATATATTTTATTCCGAGAATGAAACTAGTTATGAGTACAAAGGATAAAAAAGATCAGTTTTCAATGAATGTCAATTTTTATTTCCACAGAGATAATCGTTATTTTATATCTTAAGAGTGGGGTTTCTTTGTGATTGACTTCACGGGGTAAGGTAGGATAATAAATGATTATTCCCTCGTGGAATCAGTAGGTAATATGATAGTAAAATATAAATTAGCATACACCTCTTATAACATCATCATAATCTCAGTTAAATAAGTAAGAAAACAAGGTGAGTTGAAAAAAGATGGAGTGACAAGAATTATTGAGAAAGGGATACTGTGATGGTTTGGGCATGTCGAAAGTATGAGCGGAGAGTGAGTGATTAAGAGTTTATAAGGACCCCGTGAGATGGCGAACTGATCCAGGCAGGCCCCGGAAGACATACACTGACTAATTTACTAAAAAGGGCTTTGTTAAAAATATTCGTAACGGATGTGCGTATATGATAGGTATGATTAATGTAGAAGAGGCGTGAGTTGTATATTAGGATCATTGGAAATGGTGTTCTATCGTCTCTGCCTACCCCGGATGAGAATGAGGCGTGAGTGTGTGTATGTATGTATCTTATTCGACATTTATATGAAATAAATCTTTAAACTTTTCACTACATATATGTCTAAATATCCCAACTATATTTAATGTCGAAATAGTTCATCATCATCATCATCATCAACAGCCTTTAATAGTTCACTGCTGGACATAGGCCTCTCCTAAGAAAGGCCAGTGGGTCGCTGGCTAGTTCGTGAATAATATTACTAAATTTACGTAAGTCACGACAAACAGATAAATATCTAAGAGATCTTTGGAGAATTATTAAAACTCTTCTGTATACACAGATAATCGGTTAGCATGAAATGGTAAGGGTCTATTGACTAGCGTAAACTTGTAGTTCATAAAATGTAGTAATTGTCTATGGAAAAACTTAAACATACTATTTGCACTTTTGATACGATTTGATGAAAAGAGTTATCCGTCCTACAATCATAAAATGTTGAAGAGTAGTAATTTAAAAGAATTTTACTTTAATCAGGTTGATGGGTTCGGATTTCCTACTCTGGAGGGACTGGTTGGCCTGTACTCTGATGGAGTGAACGAGCGTGGCTACTTCATGGCTGTGCTTGAGGCATCCCGGGATTGTCTCATGAAGAACCACGATAAATTTTCCAGAACTATACCTATGGGTAAGTTATTTTAACTTTTAATGTCCATGTTATCCGAAAATATGTTGTATAATTTCCATTTACATTCAATTTATCTATTAAAAGAAGCTAATTATTGAAAAAACAAAACACCCGACTTCGTGAAAAAATCCATAGAGCCATTCGGGCTGCAAAGCGCGCCAAACATTTGAATTTGGCGCCAATAATCCGCCTTTTTTTTATATACCCAGTGTCACTCTTACAGTAAATACGAATCTAACGACCCCCCACCTCACCAACGCAGAGCGTGCCAAACAATTATAAATACATCATCATCACATCAACATCCTTTATTAGTCCACTGCTGAACATAGGCCTCTCCTTAGAAAGGAGGTTTTGGCCTGCCATACCACGCTGAGCAGACGGGTTGGTATGGGGTTTGTGTCAAGTTTTACTTCTCTTTACAGTGTTGTTGTCCTGCGTTGTTTGCAACCTTAGTCGGCTCTTACGATACATACAGGACGTCCGTCCGTATAGTGATTGATTCAGAATATGGAGTGTCACCAAACCCTATACATCCTGTGGGTGTCATAAGGGCTTACAACTACACAGTTCAGTTTTTTTTTAATTGGATTTAGGCAGTATTTCAATAAAACTCTTGTTAGATTTCTTTATAAACACGATAAAATATATTTGCTCACAAGTGATATTAGTCTATATTCGCAAGAGAAGAAAAATAAAAGCAGGCTGCAAAAAAACTTAACTTACACATTTATAAAAGCAGTCCGCAACAAAATGGTTCAAAGACACCTATGAACTACTTTATAAATTTATTTCTCGATCAATTTTAAATTTATTGATCCAATTCTTGAAGAAAGTTATACAACAATACGCTGTCACCTTTAAAACCGGAGCAGTGACCATAAATGTCTGTCAAACTGTTGGTAACAGCTAGGAATTTATGAACGTCAATCCACTGACCCAAAAAAAATATTCAGTTTTTTCTGATCAATTACATTTCTGAACAACAAGAAGCGAATTTTTCTGTTAATATTTACATTCATTGCAATATTTACTATGTACGTACATACTCGTTATTTAAATATGCAATAAAAAAGTTGTTTATTTAGATTTAAAATCTCCCTTTGGTAAAACTTCACTGTATCATAACATTCATTGTAATATTTTAGAGCATTTTTCCACAAAATAGGTTCTATGCTGTTATCATTAACGAGAGTAGCGCGAATTGCGTTGCGTAGGGAAACCAAACCAAATGTTGAAAGTGTATGGCCGTGCGTAAAAGCAAGTGTTTTTAAATAACACTGACCGGTTTAATTACAAAATGATCCAGATGCTTTCATTTTTCTCGTTTTTATTTACATTTTAATACATACATACATACACCTTACGAAATGTATTAAAATGTAAATAACATTTTAATACATTTCGTAAGGTGTACACCTTGTCAACATTCTTGTGATCCACTCTACGCAAGATTATGGTTGGTTGTCTGAAAAAGATCTCAAATTAGGTCAGACTAAGACTAAGGTGACGGTTTGTGCTTAGAGTTTCAAACACTATCACTGGACGTATGAATATTATATATAATAACTCTATTCTAAAATGCTGCTGTTATTAAGCTCTGCGCAAAGCGTGGTTTCTCTAATAATTCTACTAATACAGGCTACCAATTGTACAATTTTTTTTAAATATTTTATTTTCATTGTTTCACTTGCATCACTTTATATTATTAGACTTTTAAAAATGTATGTAGTACGTTTTTATTGTACAATAAAAAGTTATCTATCTATCTATAAAAATATACCCTTTCAATTTTTAAACATCATCATTAGCCTTAATTTGTCCACTGCTGGACATGAGCCTCTCTTTAGAAAAGATGTTTTGGCCTACTATTCCATGCTGGCCAGACGGGTTGAAACAGGGTTTGTGTCAAGTTTTCCTTCTCTTTGCAGCTGTTATCCTGTGTAGTTTATTCAATGCTCAGTTTTAAATGGTTTTTTTTTAATTCCAGACAACGGACGCAACTGCGATGTGTCGTTCGATATATTTGAATGCATATCGGACCGGATTGGTGAATACTGCGGCAGCTCGGGCCTATGAGCACCAATCGACTGGATCTCTTATTGACGACATACCAGTACATACTATAATAGTCTTCAATGGTATTTAATTTAGAAAAACTATGTGGCATGTGTATTTTTTTAATTATCACTTGTTTAACAAAATTATTGACATGTACGTAAATACTCTTTTCTAAAAAACGTCGTTTGTTTACAACTCATCTAACTCGCAGAATTTTTTAATCCTTCAAGTACGTAAAAAACTGTCTGCGACTATATGGTATCTGGCAATTTTTGAGTTATAACGTCGTCTTCTTACTCGAAATAATAAGCTCTAAATCAAAAATGAAAACTCTGAGAATTTATTGGCTTTTTATAAGAATTTATTGGCTTTTTATAATAGTTGTTTTAGATTTTGGAAACCTATTTAGTTTATTCTATTAAAACAGACGCAATAACTTTAATATTTGGTCAAAGTAAAGATCACTTACTAAGCATTAGTCTCAGATCATTGATATGTCTAGATCGACTGTCGAAGTTATAAGTGTCAGTTTATTAGTTTTTTCGCATACATACGTGATATAGATGTTCCGTTTGTATTAATTGTTTTGTGATTCAATACTCCATCTTGACATATAAACGATCTAAGTTATTAAAGCATGTCACACTGTTTCCCAATACCCAAAGAACATTGGATTTTAAAACATAAAATTTGACATAAGTTACCAATACGAAACAAAACGTTAGATAATTTAAATGTAAATAGGTGTACCTAATTAATAAAACTAAAATGTGATGCTCAATAATTTTAGTTATAAGGCAGCTCCAAAGATTTCTCAAAGAAATCAACGAAATGAATCGTCACAACCAAAATTGAATCATACTTAAATATATAGATACATACAACATATAGGTACACATACTTTTATGTAGTAACACAGATTTTAACTCATCATCATCATCAGCCTATCGCAGTCCACTGCTGGACATAGGCCTCTCCCATTGCACGCCACTTAGATCGATTTTGGGCTTCTCGCATCCAGCTCCTGCCAGCCATCTTGCGCAAATCGTCACTCCACCTGGCCTGTGGGCGTCCTACACTACGTTTGCCGAGACGCGGTCTCCACTCAAGAACTCGTTTTCCCCAACGGTTATCGGTTCTGCGGCTAATATGGCCAGCCCACTGCCACTTCAACTTGCTGATCCGGTACGCTATGTCGGTGACCTTAGTTCTCTGCCGGATCACCTCATTTCTGATGCGATCCCTTAGAGAAACGCCGAGCATAGCCCTTTCCATAGCACGTTGAGCGACTTTGAACTTGTGGACCAGCCGTACCGTAAGTGTCCACGTTTCAGCTCCGTATGTCATGACGGGTAGGACGCACTCATTAAAGACTTTCGTCTTAAGGCACTGTGGGATCGACGATGATTTTAACTACGAGTAAGATAATATACAGAAATCTCAATGAAACTTAAAGGTACAAGGTTTTGTTTCTCTAAATAGGTCGCAAACGAGCAAACAACTGTCCTGATGGAAACCACCGCCACTCATGAACGCCTGCAACTCAGGAGTCACAAGCCCGTTGTGGACCTTTGAGATTACGTTTTCTTAAAGGTTTTTTGGTTTGGAAGGTCGTATCAATCCAGAAATACCATAGGCGATAATAGTTCCACATATTGATATTGGGCGAAGATTCTGGATAAGTGCCTGTTGGTGGAGTGCCAATTATCCAAATGATGGGGATAGATGTTAAAAGTAAAATATAAAATAAATAAATAATATTGTACCACATTCACACAACACCATCTAGTCCCAAACTAAGCAGAGTACCAGCTCAGCTATGGGTACTACACAACTGATATAAATACATATACAGAGAGTTTCATTTCCTTTCACAAATACTTAAGCCACATATTCTACCCTTAATTTCTAGGCGATTTGCAAAATATGAACAAAATATATCCAGTAGTTTAGCCACAGGACTCATTTTTGTGTTTCGTAAATTGCAACATCATGTGTACATGCAGTCATAATACATTGACCTCAGGCGGCGATCAGCTGTAGGCGCGGCGCGGTAATCACACGTTGCCGCTTTTACTACACCCGAATCGAACGAAATATGTTGATTATTACGTCATCACCATGCAACACGCGTTTTTAATTAGTTCATCCAGTAAGGACAGTCAGTCGGCCCTTGGCCACCGGCGAGCTTATGCTATTCCGTATCCTTGTAGATGCGCTCACGACAAATAACCGTAATAATAATATTGTTGTTGTTTATGAGATACATATTTGTTTAGAGAAGTTTTCTTGTGGTAATAATTGTTTAGTCTTATTGCTTTCGTCATAATACACGGCAATGGTGTGAACAATTAATGTTATCGTGTGCGCAAGACTTCGTAATGTAAGGAGTCCTGCTAATTTTATTTTGAAAAGTCACTATTAGGTTCTGTGTGTAGTGTAGTGTGAAACTGAGTGCATTATCAGTCTTTTAATTTTATTGGGTTATCGATATCAACATCCATAATGCCGTGAGTGACCTTCACAGCCGCGGAATATCCTGCTATGATGTTAATTTATGGAAAACTCTATCAAAACGGATCTTTTGCTTTACGGACACGTATGGAGTCAATCGTGTATGTCCTACAGACTGCCGAATTTTTGTAAGGGCGGTACAAAGATTACGAGACAACCAAGGTAACTACTTTTTCAAGGAGTGACGCGTACTGCTGGGTCGGAAGCTAGTCGAGCATTCACGAAATAAACACGTGAATAAAATCGCATTCTTTATAAATAGATTTTTAAAAGCAAGTGAAGTGATTGGTAGGTAGGTAATAAGAATGTAAAGTTCGCCGCGGCGGCGGCGGCGGGCGCCGGCGGCGGCGTCGTTTTGATGTCGCCGACATTGCGACGCTGCCGTGTAGGTACAGTTCACCGACTCATGTTATCAATGGTGTTCTAATTCGGAAATTATTTTATAGTATTTAGTTTGTTCTAAATTTGCATTTCTGTATTTTCGTACTAATTTTTTATTTTTTTATTTTAACCGACGTATATTGAAACGTGTTATCTGTTATTTCATTTTTTGTGATATCTATACCGCCACAGGTATACTTTTTTTTTGTAAATACATACTTATTATACATAGAAACACCCAGACCAAATCAAACATTAAATGTGCATGCACACAAACGTTTGACTTGAGCAGGAATCGAACCCGCGACCTTTGGAATAGCAGTCCGTTACACAAACCACTACGCCATTCGGTCGTCAAAATGTAACTAACTAAGACCAACTGACGTAGTGTATACAATGTGTGGTAAAACTTTCTCTACAATCAATTGCACAGTCGATTACATAACTCTTTATATGCTTTCATCTTAAACTTAAATTACAGCTAAATAACAGTTATTAAGTCTATTAAGACTTACCATACAACCACTCTCGCGATTCATACTTTGGAACGCATCGACCGGCTAGATCAGAGGGGGGAGGTGGATGGACGCTCTAATGGTGACGCACTTGTGTCTCTAGTCTTGCAAGAGTCTATGAACGGCGGTAGTCACTTACCATCAGGTGGCCCGTCTGCTCGTATTCTTCTACACCATAAAAACAAATTACGAAAACGTAACACTATTTAGTGCCTCAGAAGGGACGTAGAACCAGCCATACACGAACTATAAAGACCCTAAAGTGTATTTGGTAATATTCTACCCAATAAAATGTACCATGTGATCTGGAACCTCTGAAGTATCTAGCAGAAAACATCAATTTATGATGTTAGTGCACGTGGCACAATTTTGTATTAGTGAAACTTGATAGACAACTATTTTTCAATCATTTTGCTGATGGCATGCGCAGTCACTGACATAACAATCATGATCCTTCGTGAGAATCAATTCTTTTTATATTAAACTCCTGGACATATTTCCTTAATGAATTGGTTTCATTAAAATACCTAAAAATATACACCGCTATAACCTGAGGCGTAACGATATGCGTAACGCCGGTACAAGTGTAAGAGGAAGACCCTGTTCCTCCATGGTAATGTCAAATCAAATCAAATCAAATCAAATCTTTATTTGCCAACCAAGTGTACATCAATGATCTTATAATATTATATGTAGTAGTCCCAACTCAGAAGCCTTCTCCAGGCATTGCAAAAATTTGAGAGAGAACGCAGAAGAATAAATTGTTACACAAGTACAAGCATTTTTTGAACAATACAAATTAAGTGACTTAATAGTACAGTATAACAATCAAATAAAGCATGCAAAAATACGAAGGCACCCGACATTCTACATCACACAATGTCCTCCATTGGTATGGTACAAAACCTGGTAATCGGTCGACTGGCAAAGAATGCCTCAGGCATTAAGTCCGCGGATGCAAGTATTTGTGAATAAAGTTAAAAAAATAGATTCGATTATGTTCAATGTCCTAACTAAAATGTTTTCATACTTTTCTTATAACTCTAATCCTATTTTCAAAATCCTTAAACTGCATAAATAGCGAGAAGAAGTTTGTATTTCATGATCAGGAACATTGTTTATGTGAAATTAATGTTCTTACGAATATACATTAATAAATAAAAATAATTATCATATACCATTAATTAAATTGTCTATTATTATTTGTATATTTTGGCATTGAAATTTCTTCTTTAATCTTACAGTCCTAATCTTATAGTAAGCTTTCTTAACGAACTGATAGATGTAACATAGATTTAAGTTGTATGTAATAAAGATTTGTATATATACTTTTTGTTGTTTGTTTTTTTCGTTATTTGTTTGTTTTTTTTACCCGTGAATTTTAACAGATGAAGGTATTAAAACTTAGTTCAAAAACTTTAATTACTGCCTGCCTTATCTTGACATAGATTTTTTTATTAATTGCGTAAAAATGTAAAACAAAAATAACAGATCAATAGAAAAGATAAAAATACTACAAAATGTACATGTAAGAAAGCAAATCACAATTTAGTTTTGAACAAAAGCTATTTCAGTCTCATTTATATGACGAGCGGCAATAATAAACGA